TGTGTGCACATGTAAAACTTGAAGATCAATTATATTTTGATATGGCAGTTTTTAAAATCCACAAATAATTTGTGCACATGGTCAGTTCCAACTACTTCTGTATATGAATTTGTGTGGACAAATATTACTTATGAAGCTTCTTTATATTGAAGTAGACAGGCCACTGCAAAAATCTTTCCCAGCCCTGACAGATCCCGGCAGAGATTTCCCCCAACTTTTTTTACCCATTATCCTTTTTTAAAAAAGGATACACACAGAGAGAAAAGATATCATAGAGTTTGAATTTGGGTTCTCTTCAACACAAAAGATGAGCTCGCCTGCTGAAGTATGACATTTTATGGAATTGAACTAGGTGATTGTCTGCAAGAAAACCTTTGACTGTAACAACTGGGGAAAGTGCTGCTACAATTACAGGTGACTCCCCACTTATTTGAGTTTATGTTCTGGCACTCCACATGCACAAGTGAAGATTGCGTAAGTGGGGAGGACCTTCTAAGCACCATTTAAATGCCCTCTCTCCAATCCAGATCAAAAATATTGTTGATGTGTTTTAATCTCTTTTACTGTTAAGTTTAATTATTTTGTTTTAAACTGGTTTTGTTGATAATTTTAATATTTCTTGTAAATCACATAGAGATTTGATTACCTTTTGTCAACCAACCAACCAACCAATGGATGGTTATTCAGTCGTACATTACTTTTTGATGCACATGAGTACATACTTTTTATTGTGTAACTTGTACATATCCCATTTATGGAGTGTGAAGACATTCTGTTGTTTTCAGTAGGCTATTTTATTATTAGCAAGTTAACGTACTGAATCAGGAACCCTGTTACAATCAGCAAAATATCTGACTAGAAACTGACTAGTCAAAATGGATTAATGACAGAACTTTTTAATATCAGAACATGCACTCTAGTAATGTGTGGTGTGGGGGTAGACATGCAAGCATCCTAAAAACCACTTATATGGAAAAAAAGGCACAGTAAGCCCTCTGTATTTAATCGGAATGGATGACTGAAGGAGAAGGTAAATAGAGGCTTCACAAGTGTAATTAGACCACAAGTGTAATTAGACCAGGATAACAATTGAAGAAAAATGAAGAGAGTCCTTTGCCATTTACCCCCTATCTAATGAATGCAGTATTCTCAAAATATGCCAGGAAAGAGGGGTTGCTACAACCTTCTTCCATAAAGGGCAGTTCTTCGTTAAATTCCCACCAAAGCCTGAAACAAACCATTTGGGCCTGTATCTCATTTGTCTTCCTTATATTGTACTATTGAGCTGCAGTATAATACATGTCGATTTGTGTGCTTTTACATTGAAAAATTCATTCTTTTGTGTCATTGAAGACAGATATTGTGCAGTCCCTTCAGAACCCTACTCGGTCAAATAAATAAAAATCCAATACTCCCTTGTAAGGAGTGTTGTGGATAGCGGTACATTCCTTTGTTTTAAGCTTTGGGGCTTTTAGTGGTTAACAAAAGATGGAATTCCTCATTGAATTCCTCACCAATGTTTTTAAAAGGCTACATACTTTCTACTAATACTATATAGGTAAAGAAAAATCTCTAATGTGAGAGTGTTATTCAGTGGTTTGCTTTCTTAATGAGTATGTCAAAGGTTTTGCGAATTGTTGTATTCAAAGGAACTTACCCCTAGGTAAATGCAGAGAAGATGAGAGCCCTAGTTTCCTAAAACAGTATTTGAGTAGAGGTTTAATTTTGAATTTGATGATGAAGAGTGGAGGTGTTTATTCTTTAAAATGTTGATAGAGATAATAAATAATACTTCCACAGTGTCAGTGATCTCCAAAATATATGCTTGGAGAATGGAAAATTGTTTTATTGCTCAAAGAGGTAAATTAGTTCAAGGGGACCTATGAAAGGGTATTATCTAGCAAAAGAAAAGAAAATTACTGCAGTATTAATGATTCCAACTTTGAATATGCTTTTTGCCTCAGTATTCTGAGAATTGAATTAGAATTGATTGTAATTACAATGCAGGTAAGCTGTTACTCCCCATAATTATATGAATTACACTCTTGAGTTCATTGAATGCTCCTAAGCCAAAAGTTTAAATGATTTTTAAAAAATCATACCATACATTACTGTATCTGCTTTTATTTGCCCTGGTCAATATCAGTTTGGAAGACTATATACTGCTGTACACTTGGCTTGTCACAGCTATGTGTTGATTTTCTTTTTAAGGTTTCATAAAAATTATAGGTAATTTATGTTTCTTGAAATATATGTGTTTCCAGACAAATAGCAAGCTACAACACAAACCCAGTGATTACATTTAGTAAGGCCAGGCTTGAGCAGGTTGGAAAGCTAGTTTGAGTGTAAATTCATAAAGCTGAAATGGATTGTGTTGGCTCACAGTTTGTTTTGGAGACTGTATCTCATGTTAATTTAAAAATATGATTGCAGTGCCTTTCATCAATTTCTTATACATGTACACATTATCAGTGAAAAATGCTGATGTCTGGCAGAGCTTTACTGAATGGTAAATGGGTTTTTGTTATCTGAGAGCATTGCTTCAATACCCTTGCTGACCTCCTGTAACAATTCTGTGGAGCACTTTAAGGACAATATTGCTCAGATTCGGACAAAATTGGAATCTGCTACAGTTGGATCAAGTTCAAGGGAGGTATCCTGAGCACTGTCTGATCCATCTGTACTGGATTATGGCCTGAGGATGTGGAGAAGCTGCTTGAAGAAGTGTCACCAACCACCTACCCTCTTGACACTTGCCAATCTTGACTTCTTAGAGCTACCCATGGGGGTTGACTGGGTAAGTCCAGGGTGTGATTAGTTTCACTGGAGGAGGGGGAAATACCATCCATTTTGAAGGAGATGGTGTGGCATCCCCCCCTTAAGAAGACCTACATGGACCGAGAAGCATTAAACAAGTATTGCTGAGAGGCAGTTATTCCTTTTTGGGCCAGGTGCTTGAGTGGGTGGTGGTGGTAAAACTTGAGGCACACTTGGAGGATCCAGGTTGGTTTCAGACCCCATCGTGGCATAAAACTTCCTTGTTTACCCTGGTTGATGACATTTGTTGGGGGAAACGTGGGGGGGGAGTGATTCTGTTCATTCTCCTTGATCTCTTTGTACCTTTCAATACTGTTGACCATGGTATCTGTGATCTTCGAATGAATGGTGGTACATTACTACTACTACTACTACTACTACTTCAGTGGTTCTGATCCTATGTCCAGGACCGTTTCCAGAATGTAGTTATGGGGTGCTGTTGTTTGCACCATGGCAATTGTCTTGTAGTGTCCTGCAGAGTTATCCCCATGCTATTTAACAACTATATGAAGCCACAGGTAACTGTCATGAGATTTGTAGTGGAATATAGGGGAATGTAGGGAAAATAGCCTGTTCTGGATGGTATTGCACTCCCCTGGAAGAAGAGGTCCATAGCTTGGGGATGCTCCTGGATCCAGTCTTGTCACTGGAGTCTCAAATGACCTTGGTGATTTGATTTGATTGATTGTTTTATTTTTATGCCACTTTTCATTCAAATGAATAGCAAAGCAGATTACAAACAATAACATAATAGAACATCACAAATACAACATAAATTATGTAGAATAATTAACAACACATCAGCAAAACAATTACAGTTTATAAAACACTATTAACGAAACAACTAACAATAAGCTAAACAGCACAATTACAACAAAAGCCATATGATACAATTCATGAAGTACTACAACATCATCTATAAAACAATATTAACACCATTAACAACAAAATGACAACCATAAACTAAACCAAACACAGTTGAATTCATATACACATGCTTCCTACCCCCATGATTTTAAATCTTTCAGATGGTATGGTAACCCCTGGTTTGTAAAGCCAAGGCATATTTTCTTTAATGTCTGAGACTATGACAATTTACAAACTGGAGCTTGCAAAGCTGCCAAACTATGAATTAAAGTTGTGTTCACTGTGGATTGCTGTTTATCTGCTAAATTTATAAACCATTGGAAAAACACATCTGTGGCTTTTGCTCCACCTCAAAAGGCTGCTGAACTTTGGAGTTGTGTGTAAATTTATGAAATTAAAAAACTGAATGTTGAATAGATGTAAGACAGGTAGACAAGCATTGCCAGATTATGGATGCTTGTGTACATTTGGAAGGCCAAATCATATTGTATGATGCTAGCAGAAGCCATGGTTTGAGATTAAAGATTCAAGTCACTATATTCGAAGTTCCTCCAATTGCAAATATAATAACCACTCTTCCCTACTCTTGGTGTTTTGAAATGTTCAGAAAAACCTATTTTGTCAAGTATTGTGTATGAAAATCATTATCCTTTCTCTAACAACCACTCTTTGATGAATAGCTTTCTACAATTGCTACGAATATATTAAATATATATGCATTTTATTGATTATAGATTAGTAATTCTTTACTGTAATTGATAAGTGTAAACTTTTTAATTATTATTTGCTGATGTTTAATTTTACTGTTTACTATTGGATTCTAAAGGATTATTGAATATTGCTTTATTTGATATAAGTTGTTTATTTTAAAGTTATTGTAACTTTTTATATAGGATCTGATTGTTACTATTAATGTTTGATGTTTCTTGATGATAATGATGATGTGTTGGAACCCAGCCAGATGGGCAGGGTATAAATTTTTTATAAAAAATATTATTAAATATATTGTAATAGTTGTTATGGCCCAGTTTCCTTGTAAATGAATGCATTGGTTATGGGCTATCTCTGCTTACTTGCATGTACAGTATCTGTAATTCTCATGCCGTGATGCTTTATTTTATCTATATCTGAAAACTCTAGTTTTCTCTTTTTTCAGTTGAAAATTTAAAAATGTGATATATGTTGTTATGTTGAGCCTTAGATAGCAGCTTGTATAAGTCTCACTGTGTGTAGTTTATCAATGAGTTTTAATTTTTAATTTTTGTTAAAATTCTAATCAAAAAGAATTTGGCTAATAGTAGCACTTTACTTCATAGGATTTATGAACGTGTTATAGACCCTCCAGAAACAAATTTGACTCCAGGAAGCAATCTGTGGCTTGGACAACGTAACAGGAAACATGGCTTCTTTAAGGTAAGCCTGAAAAATGGAACCAAATGAGTTAACAGCAATATGGTGATACATTCATCCTTTGCCTTTTACAACATCCGATCATTGGTGTTTTCATAGCAACACTGCCATTTCATAGTTCAACATGCATGTGGATGAGCTACATGGAGTGAAAATTTCTGAACACATGAATTCAGTTTACACTCATTCTGTGCAACTTTTCCTTTGTAACTTGTTTTGGATCAACTTAAAGGGAATAAGAAATGTGAATCTTTATGTCAGAGCATGGAGTCAAATAATGATACATCATAGCTCTCTGTAATCAGAGGTGTATTGTTGTCATAAAAAGATGTATAGGTTATGTACCACGCTGCCTTGCTTTCTATATATTGGGTTTGGGCTGGAGTTCACACGGCTGCACCTGAACTACTTACTATTCTCATATGTGTGGGCAGACCTGATAACCTCTCATCCCACTTGCTACTTCCTGACCTTCTGCTTATTCTTCTCATTCAGTTTTTCCTTATCTTTAGTCTCTAACTCCTGAAACAATCAAAATATGTAAACATATGGCCCTTTCCCAAAAAAATCCTTCCTGGCTAGAAGGAGATGATCTCTTACCAGCTTGGCTGTCTCCACATATGGACGAGTCAAAAAGGGAACTGAATTATTTCCCATATCAGGTTTATTCTAGTGCATCTGGTGGATAGCTTCATGGCCTACTTAGCTGAACATGGCATAGGAGGAAATACATGCTTGCTGCTGGCTCATGGACAGTGAACTACTGTACTGGAACTGACATTCAGTCCAAAACTTTGGGGAGTGAAGTCCAGAATGGTGCTGTCTAGTTCTCTGCATGGGATCCAAAACTTTGGGGTTTACTACCCTATCCCATAGCATTGGTCATCCTAGCTGGTCTTCTCAACTGGTGTTGGTTCTGTTGCTAACCTAGGTTTGGCCAAAATCTTCTCTACAACAGAAAGACAAGTTGCAAAATCAAAAACATCCTCAGTTTCTTTGCTCCCCTACTCTCTAAATTCCCCCTTCCTTTTCCGCAGCTTCCAACAGAACTAGGAGGGCATTAACGTCAATCTCAATATACTCTTCTAACAAAAAAGAGATAAGTAGGTGGTTTTGGGATGGGAGTGGGACTGGTAGCCTTCTGTGGATACAGGAAGCTTTCCTAAAGTCTGATCCTGGCTGAACTCTGCTGGAGCCTTTACCCTCCCATGCAGTGGACCAAAGAACAAAGGGTAATATGTAAAAGAAAACATTAGGAAGCCTCTCTCACCATCCTCCTATTTTCTCCTGCAAACTTGTGCACTGTTTGGCTTGTTGAGCCCACTGGCTAATAATGAATTCTGGCACTCATGCATCTATGGCTCCCACTCCCAGGCACCAGCAAATGTGCCACCAGCATTGCAGTTTGAAGCAGATGCCAATGCCTTTCTCATCCAGCTGTATGTGTGAAGACCCCCCACCCACATTACCCAACTGGTATGGGGTGCAAGGGAGGTTGCAATGGGTAAGACTACTGCAGCAGCTTTTAATATAATGCAGATAATTTTTGTATCTCTTTTGTCCCCCCACTCCCCATTTAAATTAAGGTGGAGAAATGCCTTCTTACCTGGACTTTATTTCTCCATCTAACAGCTGAGCTGTCACCGTGAAGTGAAATTGATGGCATTATTTTATTCTACAGCTGTTGGTTTTTTAACCTCAGCTGCTTCCCATAATTCTGCAGATGGTAAACATATGTTTATGGGTATATAGCAAAAAAGGAACAGGGGGAGTAGTAATAGTTATATTGGTTTTGCCCATCTTTAATTCTTTTTTGATAACAGACAGCCAGAGTCTAAGAACTGAGGGATATTATGCATTTATAAATTAATATTTCTACACATTAACGCTTTGGAAACAGCAGGATAGCTAATGATATGATAATGAGCTGCCAGTTTTTATTGATCATAATGTAAGTCGACATGTGCCTTTCTTTGCTCTATGGATGCCTGAATATTTTACTAACTGTCTGTAGGGCAAAACTACATAATTGGCTGTATTTTTAAGCTTGCTTGTGAGTTTTATAAGCTTTACACTTTATTCTTGTTGTTACCCAATGCAAAAGCCTATGATTTTGATAGTTTATAAGCACACATATCCCTTGTCCTTATATTTACATACTCAGCAGGACCCTTTTTTTCTTTTGAAAGCAATTTGTTTCAGTGTTTTAGCATATACAAACCCCTTTTTTCTCAGTGTAAACAGAGATCTGCAGGGAAATAAGAATGTTAAAAAAAGAATTGTATTTTTCTTTTGTATCTGCAGAGGAATTGTGCTAGCAATTGTGTCTAAAAAGCGCTGAATATTATTATCAGCATTATACTGATAATAGCTGTTTCAAATCTATTAGGAGTGTAACAGCATACTTCGCTAATATGTTTTCAGTTCATCTTCTGCTTTTGTTCTTAATGGGAAAACTCTAAAATTGTAGCATTAATACACACTTGGAGACACAATCTTCTCTTTCCTTTCACACCTACTATGTTTTCCTGATGTAGCCTTACCTGATAAGATCTTCATTTTATATTGTCTTTCACACAGTGTAAAAATCAATTCTGGAAATCTAGTGGAAATCTAGTGCTTGTTTCCATGTTCCAGAAAAACTTTTCCAAGCATCTTAGCTTGGAAAATCACAGGAGTTTTGCACTGTAATTCCACTTGATGAAATTTGGGGCAGTATCCTGGCATACAGTTCTTTCCTGCTGTTTAAAATTTAGTGCGACATGGCAGTATATTGATCAAAAAGCCACAGTGCCATAATGCAACAGGTACTGTAGTGTAAAAGGAACACTAGATATTGGATCAGAAGTGTTAGCATTGTAAGCATTAAAGCTAACCCAATAAACTAACAACAACAACAATTTTTTATTTATGCCCCACCTATCTGGCTGGGTTGCCCCAGCCACACTGGGTGGCTTCCAACACCCGTAAAAATAATAAACCATAAAACATTAAAAGTAACAATCAGATCCTATATCAAAAGTCACAATAACTTTAAAATAAACAGCTTATATCAAATGAAGCAATATCCAATATTCCATTAGAATCCAATAATAAACAGTAAAACTAAACATCAGCGAATAATAATTTAAACAGTTTACGGTCATCAATTGCAATCAAGTATTACTAATCTATAACCAATAAAATAGCAGCAAAGCACAATGCATAAAATACCACAAAACGTACAAAACCATGTGAAAGGATCGAATTGAGAAACAAGGACACACAGCTTACAAAATTATTTTTACAAACTATCTCTGAACTCCTCTTTTCCCAGCTGCTTCTGCTGTTCTCAAAGTCATGGTCTGGGAAAGGCTCCTGAGGTTGGAGGGTGGGGCAAGGCAGGTGGAAAAGCCATTGCCTGCAAAAAGTCTCTCTCCCCTCAGTTCTTCCTCTGGAGGAGAGCAGGTCTCTTATAAAGACTCCTGGGGCTGGGGCAAGGCAGGTGGAAAAGCCATCTCCCCTCATGTCTGAGTGTAGCTCCTGTGTTCTTAGGGGACACCCCACCCCATATGATGGTTACCTCCTGTCTTATTCCTTTTAATTTTCAGTGCTTTTTGTTAAAAAGAAAAAAAATCTGACACTGTAAAGGAAAATCTCACAGCTACCCCTCATATTTGATAGAGCTCTGCATCCCCAAAACAGGTCCAGCAAATGCCAAGGTAACATTAATGTGGTTCAACTTAGGGGGAGGTGAGATTGTTCTGCATGTTGCAGAGCATTTTAGGAAGACGAATGGTAAAATGAGTTAGGAAAGCGTGAAGGAAGTTGGTGAAATAAGTCAGTGTATTTGGCTGTTAACCAGAAGGTTGGTGGTTTGAGCCCACCCATGGATGACTGTGGGCAGGATTCCTGCTTTTCAAGGGGTTCAACTAGATGACCCTTGGGGTCCCTTCCAACTCTACAATTCCATGAAATATGAGCATTCTGTTTTTGCCTCTTCCACAACACAATCTTATGATTCTTGTAGATGAGGAGGATTTTTTTTTGAATAGGATATCTTTTTGAGTATTGCAGAGTAGTAGTACAGTACTCCCATGCTAGAGTAGGAAAACAAAGAAATTAGAGCAGTGTTTCTCAAACTTAGGTCCCCAGATGTTGTTGGACTACAATTCCCATCATCCCTGACCACTGGTCATGCTAACAAGGGATGATGGGAGTTGTAGTCCAACAACAGCAGGGGAGCCAAGTTTGAGAAAGACTGAATTAGAGTAAAGAGGCACCCCAAAGATAAATCATATAGCATGATAAAAATAGTTGAAGAACCTTACTTAAAAGAAGCAAGGGAGAAATGTAACCAAGAAGGGTTATGATTCTGTTCCAGTTGTCATATCTTCAGCCTTGCCTTTCTCTCTGAAGCTATACTCACTGTGCATGTTAGGTCCAAACCTGTATGACACACTCTTTGCATTAGAGCACTAGAGACACCTGTATTGTTTTTAGTTATCCATCCTGAGTACATATTTATAAACTGGGATATTTCTGAGCCTGCATCAATAGTTTTGTCACTGATTATATGAAATATATTAATTATGGATCTTACTGTATTTTTAACTGTTTTATTATAAGGGTCCATCTAGCAATGCTGGTGATAATGAACAAGTAGAAATAAGTTGCAAGTTATTTTAAACTATTTCCAGTATTGAGCTTTAATGCTGTAACATGCCTTGGGACCTTAGAGTGGAGGGCATGTAATGATTGATTGATTGAATAATAATCTTGTCACCTCAGGTGTTGGAAGCAGAGATGAGGGGGCAGAAGTCTCTTCTTCATGATTTTCCACTAAACGTGGCAGCTTCCCTCAGCTCCTTTGGTCAAAAACAGCAACAGCAACTGTTGACGAAAACAGTCATGCAATGGAATGCCATATAACTGACCCTTAGATGCCACAGTAGCAGAAGGGAATTGTTGTGTGTCACTCAGCTGCTTCCACAAGTGGGCTGGCGTATGGCAAATCGTAATTCTGTACTAAAGCACAAAATGTCAAGGGACCTGACACTTCCCCCTCGCTTAATGCTCACCATGTCTTTTCTCGTATGTCCGTGCTTCTCTCTAGCAGTATGTCATTTCTGTCAACCTTACTCTTGCCCCCAAAAATGCTCTTCTCATTTTATGGAGGTGAATTTTCATTAAAAAAGATTTTTACAATGATACGTAATATTATTGCAAATACAAGACAACATCCACAATTCCTATAATCTGTGCAGTACGTTCTCTGACATAAGGCCCTGACACAGCAGCTGTTGCAATATAGGATGCTAGCTGGTCATGTCAGTGGATATAACTGGAGGTAGTGCTATAGCTGTCGCTGTCATAATCCATTGAAGTCAAAGGCAGAGTATACACTGCAGCTTGACTTTTCCTGACAAAAAAGCCCTTTATTTATATTTGACTAGTCATCTTGAAAACAGATTCTGGTAGTTGTATACCTGTTTACGGAAGCTTTTAATATTTGATGAATTATTGTATTTTGATATTTTGCTGGAAACCGCCCAGAGTGGCTGGGAAAACCCAGCCAGATGGGCAAGGTATTATTATTATTATTATTATTATTATTATTATTATTATTATTATTATTATTATTACCATGGCGGCATCTAAAGCCTAGAAGTGAATGAAAATGATAAGGTAAAGGTAAAGGTACCCCTGCCCATACGGGCCAGTCTTGACAGACTCTAGGGTTGTGCGCCCATCTCACTCTATAGGCCGGGGGCCAGCGCTGTCCGCAGACACTTCCGGGTCACGTGGCCAGCGTGACAAGCTGCATCTGGCGAGCCAGCGCAGCACACGGAACGCCGTTTACCTTCCCGCTTGTAAGCGGTCCCTATTTATCTACTTGCACCCGGGGGTGCTTTCGAACTGCTAGGTTGGCAGGCGAATGAAAATGATACATGTGTATAAATAAGCTATTGGCATGCATAATGAAAAGAGCACACCTTTTAAAGCATATAGTTCAAGGCTTAGAAACAGTGTACAAAAAACTGTCATTAGCTAGGCTGCGTGTTGCTACCATCCTCTCCCAGCTGAAAGTGCTAAATAAATTCAAGATTAATGCTTAACAAATGGTGGGGGGGAGCATTTGTGATATGTATATTTTTAACATTTACAGTCATACCTCAGGTTACAGATGCTTCAGGTTGTGTTTTTTCAGGTTACGGACCCGCTGAAACCCGGAAGTACCGGAACGGGTTACTTCTGGGTTTTGGCAGTTGCGCATGCACAGAAGCACTAAATTGCGCTTTGCGCATGCGCAGACATACTGATGTGGGTTGCGAATGCTGTGGGTTGCAAACGTGCATCCCGCGTGGATCACGTTCACAACCTGAGTGTCCACTGTATTCATTTATGTAGCAAATAGGGCTTTTTTTAACTCTGTTCCAGCACCTCTCAGGTGGGCACCATTGCCATTATAAGAGAACAAGGGAGTTTCATGGTGGGTTTCAACACCTTTTTCCAGAAAAATAGCACTGAGTAAGGCTATACACCCGTGGAACAAGTCAACAGGTGCTTAATGTTAAGCAAAGGCAGAATAAATCTTACTAAAGTAAGGTGAAACAGTTTGGTTGTGATGCATGCCTGGTATGCTCAGTGGTTATTAATTAGGCTTGCTTTAACTTGGACTCCTCAGGGCATGATGTCAGTGAAGCCTTGTACGTACTGCCTAGATGAGCATTTCAGTGTAGATTGAGATGCACACCCAGATATGACTTTACATAAGCTACATACACAGATATCCATGCTGTATTAGTGCAAGGGTTTGGGTTTTATTTATATGTATTTAAACATTGCCCTTAGACATCCATGTGTCTGTAGTTTTAATACATTGTTCACTAGCATTCATTTTCAAAATCATATTAAAGATTGCTTTGGAGGTTATCCCTACCAACTGACAATGTCTCCTATCATTACTCATATGACTTCATTATTCTAATAGATGAAAAGGTTAATAAATGTTCTGGATAGTTATTTTCATTAATATTTTCAATTAATATTTGATCTTGAAATAACAAGCAGGAAGAGCTGCTTGCTGATTACCTTTTTGCTATCTGAGACAACGAGCGCATAAATGTTAAATGTTGCTGCATCTGCAAATCTTGGAGCACTATATTTTATTTATAGCAGGAGCTCACTAGTCTGAGCAGGATATGATGTCTTCTATCTGCTCAGTAGCATCCATTTTTCTGTTGTACTCCAGCTGAAATAATGGCTTCAATTTCTGATGAAACCAATATTTTGATTATCAAAGGATAACCTTGACTGTAAACTTACTTTTCCACATAAAGTGGTGTGTGGGTGGTTGTTTTCAGTACACTTTATGTGCCTCTCCTAGATCCAGTTCATCATTACAGCATGCATGTCTATCAAAATTTATTTGAATGCTAAGTGTCTTAGCCTTTTTTGTTATCCAGTTCACATATGTTGACATGTCCAAGGACTGAAGACCTCATCATTTGATTTTAAGGTGCAGATTTAATCTGAATAAAGCATCACATCACACTGAGGCTAATCAGTGGAAGAGGGGTGGAAAAACCTTTCTGTGGAATCATTGTACTATGAATGAGTCACCTTCTGAAAGTGGCTTCAGACTAGAATAGTTCCATTGGCATTTGCTCTCTAATAGACCTTTCAAAGGTTTTCGTTCATAGGGTTTTCATTGCTCATCTTTGTGTCTGTGTTTGTGTGTGACTGACTGCAATTCACCATATGATTTTAGTTTATGTGTCATTGAAAATAGTGAGACTTAAGCATTCTTAGCCACACTCTGGACTGTGGTGTTGAGTTTGGATCTTTACTTAATGCCATAGGAATATTATTTGAAGGGCATGGTAAAAATAATTAAGTGAAATATAAATTCATTAAACTTTTCATATAAAGTGAAAATAATAAGGTCTATGGCTGACCAGACTTTGTGTTCAGAATTTTTTACTTGCCAGAACAGTTGTTACTTATTATGTTTTACCATGAGGTTCCAGAGTGGGCTCTAAAACTTTATTCCCCAAATCAATAATATTAACATTTCTATTTTTAAAATCTGTAAATATTTTGTCAACTAGTTTTGTTAGATCAAGCAGTATGAACCTACAATATTGTTGTATTTTGTTCTCATTTTTTAATATGAAATTGATAAATAGTGAATGAACAGGAAATATTTAAGCTATTGTATTAATTTGTTATGCCTTATCAAGACATAAATTGTGAATTATTTTGTACAATTTTAATTGTATGACTATAATCTATATTACCAGCTATCTCTTCTGTTACAAAGGGTATCATTCAAGATGTGAAAGTCATCTTCATGCCTAATGGATATATAACACAGTGCCCTAATCTGAATCGCAGTAAGTAGCACTTTTAAGTATATATATTTAAAATTAAGTTTACAAAAATACTTTAAACAAAAATGAGTGTTTTGTAGTGCCTATTCAATTTGTTGCACAACAATGTTGCATTCTTCCTGAGAAGTACCACTTTGTAGTTGAACAACTAAGACTATGTTTTGCCAACTTTTCTCAGTAAAAGCAGGCTGGGGAGTTATAGATATAAATGTTTTACTCCTTCATATGTTTGACTGCACATATTTATTTTCTGTTCATTTAAACTGATCTTATAAGTGACCTAGATGACAGTTTCATTGGGAAAGCCAACAAATTCTGGACCCCCATTTTCCAGTTTGCATTGAACTAGGCTACACATTACTATCATCACACCAGATCAGTTCAGATTTGTCTGTTCAGCATTCTGATGGCTTCATTGCTTATAAGCCAGAGAAAACTGGACTGAATTGCAGACTGTGGGATACCACACTTCTGCCCATGCTTTTCTGTTACTTCCAATATTTCCAATAATATGTCATATATGTGCGAGACAACCCAATTTAAATTATTAATTTTATTTTCTATTAAAATGTCCATATGTTTTCATTTTCTTATAATCTTTGTAATATTTGTATTACAAATGCTAGAATCAATAGCTAGTGAGTTAAGCATATGGTAGTTTTTTTTTGTATAATATGGTTTTTATCTGCTGTTTTCCTTCCTTCCTTTATTGAGCCTGTCCAACCTGCAGTGACTTCTTAAGCCTGGTTCAAGGAATTATGGATTTGCAAGAACTTCTGGCTAAAATGACAGCAAAAGTAGGTACCTGACCTTTGTTCCCAGTTTTACATCCAAGTTGTCATTTGCTTCCCATATTTGGGCAACCATGTACACATTTCTCATCTTTTTTCAGTTTATGTATCAATATGTCAAGGACTTATTTCATGCTATAAATGGAAGAATAAGTTACTGATCCACAAAGAATGCATTTTTCCTTTTTGTTTGAATTGTGGTTGAATGCTGATGCTGAGGGTTGCCTAATGGAATAAGAAAACAAGATAGGCACAAGTATTTATCTAACCTGATGCATAGTTGTCAAACATGGTTGTTTCCTATGTCATTTGTTTCCCTTCATAGAAATAAAACACATAAAAATCTGTACCCTTCCAGTTATTGTTAATAACCTGTTCTATATCTAACCCTTCAGTTCTTACATAATATTGGGTTTTTTTTGCATGGGATAGCATGATGATGAGAAATGGAGGTCACTGGGATTGGAGTTTTACCAGTAGTCAGGCAGCAGTGGCTGCTCATCAGATGCTGTCTAAATCCTATTTTGTTTCTGAGCTGCCTTCACTTGTTCTTGTTCCATGTGCTTATCTTGTTTATAATAACACACTTTCATAGCATTAAAATGCCAATTATAAAACAAAACATTGTGTATACATACTGGCTCTGTTTTTACATCATGAGCAGGAACAAACCTCAAATGTAAGTGCTCTCCCGTTATCTTCCACAAGGCTAGGATGCCTTCAGCATTCCTTCCTCCTCCCCCCTGCTTTCTCTTAAAGCAGTTTTATCTGGGCTACACTTCCAAAATAAAAATTATAAACGAGTCTTCTCCCATACAGTGGTACCTCGGGTTACAGACGCTTCAGGTTACAGACTCGTGGTAACCCAGAAATAGTATCTCGGGTTAAGAACTTTGCTTCAGGGTGAGAACAGAAATCACGCAGCAGCGGCGCGGTGGCAGCGGGAGGCCCCATTAGCTAAAGTGGTACCTCAGGTTAAGAACAGTTTCAGGTTAAGAACGGACCACCAGAATGAATTAAGTTCTTAACCTGAGGTACCACTGTACTCTGTTCAAACAGCGATTCTGGATCACAGCTAGGATTTTCCTCAATCGCACTTGATGCTCTTGCTTTCATTTAGAAAAGATATCGATCCATATTCTGTGCATATATACACACACTACACTACACTACACTGAAATGTTTAAATGTTTATATTTGATTGTTCTTGAATCTTCCCGCCACACTTGCTATCCTCTCCTGGTGCACCACATGGTTTGAGAACCACTGTATTAAAGCCCGCTTGTTGTGTCATATAGATCAGAGATCATGGTTCATAACTGTGGCCAGGGTCAAAACCAAAACAACTTTAAACCATGTGCCACAAATCTAGGTTGTTTAAACTAACCAGGCATAAAGTATGATCCCTGGTCTAGATTACGTGACAAGCCTATTTTAAGTGAAAGTCAAACTAAAAGCCTCTGAAGTCCTCCCAGTTGTGTACCCAAGGCTTGCTATGGCTTCTTCCTGCTCACCACTGGCAGGACATGCAATCATGGGCACTGGCAGGACATGCAATCATGTTTCAAATCTTTGCAAAGCTGATGGTTTGAAATCTGGCACATAAATCAGCCAAAGATAAGCCCTCTTAAGCCCTGCTGATTTCAGTGGACCAGTGCTTATAGGCTACAGTCCTATAATGCCTTTCCTGGGAGTAAGTCCTGTTGAACAAAATGAAACTTACTTCTGAGTAAGCATGCACTTTTGACCTTTTTAAATTAATGGAACTTAAAAGTGCCATTGCATTATTTATTTTTGGTTTTGGTTTGTATGAAAACTGCACAAGGCAGTACATTATACAGTGATTCCTGCCCCGCCCCCCCGCGAGTATACCCCTATTTAATGTCCCCATACTCTTTATGCTTTCCTTTCTGATCTTCCATCTTCATGTTTTAATTCTACTGTCTTAATCAGCATGCTTTGGACTTGATCACTTGGAGAAAGAAAAATATTAAATTTCAGTTCATTTTACTTCTGGAAAGTGAGATAATTATTCTGAGACATGCTGGTGGTCTTAGTAGGTGCCAATTACATAGTGCATTGAGTGACTTGTCCTTCCTGCAGTTAATTATATTTTTCTTGCTGATATTTTTTTATTCTAGATAATACATAATTAACATTCTGAAGGTTACAAGCACCCCTACAAGTGGAATGCTCTTTACCTTCTTATTCCATATTCCCAGGAACTGCTGTTTCATTGCCTTTTGCAGTACATAAATTTAGTATTTTGTTGCATTCATAGACCAGTGAGAACATGTCACACTTGTTTGTTTAATTGTCAGAGAAATGCAAGCAGAATGCAAAATTGCTCATTTTATTTATTGCTAAATAGAAACTTAGTGGTTCAGTTCTAAAACGACACATATCAGTTGCCATGTCTAAGCTTGAAGCCTTCGTCCCTAATTGCACACCTGTGTGATGAGGTTGTTGTGACTTTATGATGAGTGTCTCATGCTCAGTGTCTCATTTTTTAATTTTTGCTGGTTATTTTTCAAGGCTGAGATGTGACGCTGAAGTCCTGGCACAAAACAAATCACTCTTGTACATTGCTACTAGATTATGTATTTAATGATGAAATTATATGGTTTGCTTGCTCGCTTTCACCCTTAAATGCCCCTTTTACCCCCTTTAAGTAGACCTTTTTTCTTTTTAAGAATATAAAAAAGGTGAAGAAGACCCTCTTTCTGTACCCATAAGTACAAATAGCCTCAGATTACTTTTATTGACATAGATTTGGTCTTTCAGCAATTGAGTACTCAATCTGATTAAAGGCCTAAAGATTGCTACTTTCTTCCTGGAGTGTTTAGGATCAAATTATTTCAATAAGGAAGACTACTATGATTGATTACTAAGGAATTTGCACTGCACCTCCCCTTGCTACCATGGCAAGTAGGAAGACAGAGACTGAAGAGTTGGCCAAGCCTGTTGTCCCATGTATGAATTCTGCATCTGCAACAGAAGTACCCGCTGTTCAGTTTCAAATGCAATTGGTTTCCAAACATGAGATCAAATACATGATAAGTCTTTTCCTCCATGAATTATCTTGTTTTTTCTAATGCTGCATGTCCTAATGACTACCACCTCTCCTTTTGACAATTAATTCAATTAATTCACGTACAAAACCATTCTATCCTACATGACAGAAAGCATAATCTGCTACACGCAAAGACCCCACAGTGTCCTACATGCACCATTGGGTTATAGCCAGTGACAGCCCAGCAACCATGAGCCTCCAATATAGATATAATATAAAAGTTAGCTAAGCAACATATCCAAAATCCACCAAAATTTTCTCCCACCAACATCCCGGACAAACCTTCTAATTGAAAGCAAAAGTGTGCTGGACTTTATCCTTGTGTTTGCTTTTATAGGGGTAGGTGTTGTTTCATTTATTTCTGGAATTATTGAAGTATTTCTAGAATACTTGTAATGGTTCTGAGAGCACAGGTGTTAGCAGTGTGCTCTTCCTATATTTATCCAGAGGCCAAGCTGCTTATGCAGTGTGCAATCTTCTTGCACAAAATACCCTTTCTATGTAATACCCATTATGTCCCTTTATGTGCTGTAAATGTTCAAAACATAAGCTGGAAGTGGAAAGGCCCTGCGTCTGGTCTGAATTATGGCTCCTATCAGGAGTATACGTATTTACTGTTGGATGTGTGGTATGTTGTGAATGAATGCAGAGTTTGCCTGAATAATATGCTTCAGACAGGAAGGGGTGGGGAAGTGTTTTAACATTAGAAAAGCAATGGATCAGGCCAGAGTCCCATCTAGTCCAATTTGCCGTTCTCAAATACCTATGCAAAACCCACAAACAGGACCTGAGAACACTGTTTGCAATTCTCAGCAACTGGTATTCAGCAGCATACTGCCTTTGGCAGTGGAACATAGCCATCATCCCTAGTAGCCATTGAAAACCTTATTCTCCATGAATTTGTCTAATCTTCTTTTAATGCCATCTGAGTCAGTTACCATTACTGCAGCTTGATGGAGCGAATTCTTTAGTCACTATATGCTGTATGAAAAGGTGCTTCATTTTGTCTGTGCTAAATCTCCGAACACTCAGCTGCATTGTATGCCCTGGAGTTCCAGCAGTATAAGAGAGGGCGAAAAACTTTTTTGCTATCCATTTACTCCATGACATGCATAATTTTATATATCATGTATTATCCATTACAAGTCACTTCCCTTGGGACTTCCCCAGTCCATCTCTCCATGGCATTCTATTCAAACCTTATTCTGCTGCATATCCTGCATATTGATAAATTCCAGGAAGCCAGATGGGAACCAGGGAAAGAGCTACATCTATGAGCTTCATGTTTCGGGTTTGACTAGTGGATTTGGAATACAGATCATTTTGAACATTTTCCAGTTCTTAACATTTTCCAGAATAGAGAGCCAAGAATTGGACACTAAAGTTCTAAATGGATAAGTTGTTATTTATAGACATAGTAGTTATTATTTAAAAAGTTAATAATTATGTGCTGCAGACATGGTGTTACTTTGATTGCCAGTTAACAGATTAGACAATTGCCCTGAGATCATCATCCCATATACATAGGTTTCTTTAATTTGGACTGAAATAAATACACTAGCAAAGCATATGTGATTGCCTTCTATGGATCTGGGCTGATTTATACCAGCTTAAAGTCATGCTGTTTTCATGTGATTTTGTCAGTATGATAAAACCTAATTCCTCTGAAGATCACTAAGCTGTGCTTTTATTTTCCTTTGTATGAACCCATGTGCATTACTTCTAGGAATTAAATCAAGTAACTTTCATTTATAGCTAAATTATGCAGAAATGAGGCTTAGTCAGTTGGAAAACTGTCACTGTGAGAAGACTTGTCAAGTAAATGGAGTGATCTATCGAGACAAAGACTCATGGGTTGAAGATGATCACTGCAGGAATTGTACTTGCAAAGTAAGAAACTTCTAACTTATATATGGGGGTAAGATGGCTCATTACAATTCAGTATAAGTTTGTTCGGTACATAATGTCAACTTGGAGGGTTAGTTATTGGCATTATGCATAGCATTATGTACAGAGTATGGGGAGGCAATAAAAAAATGATACCTGCCTAAAAGCAGTTTCTTTCCTGTATTTAGATGGCTATGTTTTTTACTGAACATTTTGGTGTTTCCTGTGTACAATTTAGAATTGTATTACTGAAGTTTGTGGGAAAGGAGACATTATCTTAATTGTATGCACGAGTTGCATTTTGCATGACAACGACATGTATATTGTGATCGTGGTATTTATTATTTTCAACATCAGAGGAACAAAAGTTGATTAGTATGTAAATCTTGTACTGTTGAAATTATTTGATAACTATCAGAAGAGAGGTTTTGTTTGCCCAAGAAAATAGAAAACTGTTTGTTAAAATGAAGATGATTGACAGAGACTGTGAAGGTGTTATTTTGTATTTGTAAAAATGGGTAGATGGCTTCTATTGTCTAACCCACTTTGTGATTGGTGGAATAAGGGAAATAATTTATATCTGAAATTTAATAGATGTTCACATAGGTAGCAGCTGGATATGATTATGGTTGCTTCAGAATGGTGAAATTGTAGTTGCAGTATATCTTATCCAAATATTCATATCTAAGCTAATTATTTTTTCCACAAGTTTAGAATGTTTCCCGCCCCCTAAAATATACATTACTTTATACCAAAGATAGCCAATGTGGTACCCTGCAGAGCTTTTCGAACTTCTAGCTCCCATCAGCTCTAGCCAGCGTGGTCAATGGCCAAAGATTATGGGAGTTGTAGAGAGAGCACCATGTTGGCTAACCCTGCTTTATACAGGTGTTTTAATCCTATTTTTCTATTATTTTACAGAGTGGAGTAGTGGAGTGCCGGCGAATGGCCTGCCCACCATTGAACTGTTCGCCAGATCGCCTTCCAGTCCATTTAACAGGCCAGTGCTGCAAATTGTGCAAGTGTAAGTATAGGTATTGTGCTCTCTTCCTTTTCTCAGTCATACTGATTTTACATGCTCTTTGTTGTTGTTGTTAGTTATGTAGTAAAGTTGTGGAGTGATGTCACTTCAATTCGGAAAGCCCCTACTCCCTGGGAAGTAATTTGAAATTTGACTCTGCCTTGCATTTTCTGGGAGAGAGATATCCTGGAGTTAAAAAATATGCTCATACCATGTAATGGACTTAAAATTCATAATTAGTAAAATTTTACTTTTACACATGATTCAGACCACATAAGAGTCAGGTTTGAAAGGGACGGTAAACTATGGCTTTGTGCAATGTGAATAAGCCTGGCCATCTCCCAGGTTCTTCCGCTAGTCATTTCATCTGAATCAGGGATTGAGGTTTAACATGATTAATAGTAAGTTTCAAAATAAGCCAACGTCAGATCATGGGTTGTGGAGCTGGTTTGTTAAACTAACCGTGGTTAGCATCAAACTATGATTCCTGGCTCAGATGAAGTGATAAGCCATGTTGAAGGGGGGGGGGGCAAATGCTTCTGAACTCTTTCTGTTCAGGAGGCAAGGGGAGAGGGAACATGTGGGCCCAGAAGGAGACCGTGGTTTAGCATTAGAACTGAATTTAACCACATAGTCACAATAATCTTTTCTTTTGTTTCATGTCCTCTAATTAAAATATGAATGAATGAACAAACCTACTCTTTTGTGTGTTTTTGGTTGACACCCATCTCAACTTGTTGGTGTACTTGGAAATCTGTTAGAAGAAATAGATGTAAACATTGATTAAAATTGATTGCAAATCTTGACAGAATGATATACTTGGGACAGTTTTTGGGGTCCATGTTGTTCCAGACACTGAAGCTGTCTGTACTGATGATACTGTGTGGATTGATTTCTCTGCCCTTTGTCCATACAGTCATTGACAGTATGATCAACTATAATTATCTTTCCTTAGGGCTTATTGAGCAGATAATTAGCCATTTTTTAAAAAAAATGAGTTAAAGCAACTAGCATTTCTTACCTGAAAAATGCAGGAGGATTCTTTTTTCTCAGTTATCTTTAGTTAATCCCTCCAGTACAGAACATGCTTTTGGGGATCAAAACTGACTTTCTGGCAAAGTCTGACTATTATTCAGATTTTTCTTCCCTTTTAGTCTACATCCAGCCTTGTTATATAGGCTGTCACATTTGAAGCTGAAAAATACCTCCACCAGCCCTGTGCCCATCAGAAAGACAAAATCTAGGTTTTATATTTTATAAGATGATGATTTACAAGCCGTAGCTGCAAAAATGCCACATTTACCACACAAAAGTTAGTCAGGTCTTTATTACAGTCAACAGATGAGTAAGACAAAATGCAAAGTTCCAAACAGAAAATAGGGAGTCTCAATAAAACCAATTGTTTAAAAAAATGATAGGCTAAGAGACACAACTATATCTATATATTAATATAGAAGGGTATGACTTAATCACATCAGTAGAGTACTGTTGGTTGTTGGTGCTCATTTAGCCTCCTGCTGATTTGGAGCTGCTTGATAGAGGGTGTGACAGTGAAGAGCCTGGTGCCATGCAAATGTACCATCAGAGCCACACTATCTGCTATTGAATCGCATCATACCCATGTTGACAGGTCTTCTGAAACCAATTCTATGGCATCATGGTGGAACGGCCTAAATACAGAATCATATATAATGGGAGCAATACATTAAAGGTATTGCAGACTTCTGCTTGTTGATGTTAGTCCAGAGAATTTCCTCATCGTGCATGATATACTAGTTTTGTCACTTTGATATGGCTGCACCCCAGCTAGGAATGTTAAATCTTTGGTACTTTATTCCATTATCAATGTTGCCCTATTTACCTGCCAACCAACAGTTGCCAGTTGAACAATCTGAAAAGTGTAGTTTGTTAAACCTTTTGGGCTGCATGCTATGTCTAGCTGGGAGGCAGGTCATCATTATATACTCTTGACATGCTGTATTCTTCAAAGATCATCGTCATCTTCATTTTTAATTTGTATGCCGTCTTTCTATCTTACAATACTCAAAGTGGTTTACAAGCTAAAGAAACAAAAAATGTACATCTTATAACAATCTAATGCAATACAAAAATGTGATAATAAAACATAACTTTAAAATAGGCAACCTACATCAAAAAAGTAACATTCAACAATCATTAGAATAGTGATGAAATCAAATAAGTGAAACTTTGATTGTCAAAATGTGGTGGTATAGATGGATTTCAAAGAAGAGATTTTATAGGATTTACACACACACCCTTTCTTGCTAGCATACACTGTGGTGTAACATTTAGAAGTTGATGGACAGTATATGGGGAGAATTTGTAGAAGTAAAGTGCAACTGCTGAGGATAAAATTTCAGTATGGTGTAATATTTCTAGTTCCTCTGCTTGCCCTGGGCCTATTACCACCTTTCCTATTTCTCGCTTTTTACCTCAGACCTAGTTGCATGACTGTTACCAAGGAAAATTATAGATATAATTTGAAAGGTTGAAATGTAAGGTTTCGTCCCATTCTGCAGTGTTTGAGGTTCTTGAAGGGGAACTGATTTAAAGAGCAATGTTATTTAGTATTCCTCTTTTACTGGAGTTAAAGAGGACATTCTTTTTTATTATGGCTACAGTAATGCAAATGTGTCAGGAAGTCATAACTAGAGTTTCTAATACATTGTGCTATTAGGAAGCAACATTTGGGTATAAATTGTAAGTTATTTTAAACTGCTTTTAATATTGTGTTGTAATGTGTTTTAATGTACCCTGCCCTGGGACCTTAGGGTGGAGGGCAGATAATAAATTACATAATTGTAGTAACAACAACAACAACAACAACAGCATATTTGAAGCTTTCATTTATCTGTATTAATGACACAACCTGGGGGAATTTAGTTTTTCTAGCTTTAATAATTTGGAGCACTGGGCACCTTATTACATATGTACCCGTGAAGTAACAGTGTCTAAGCCAATTTATTTTCTAACCAAACAAAGATTTTGGAGCTAATATTCAATCCATTGCCAGAAATGATACTTGCTTGAAAGTACCCATAATCTCAAGGATACTGAGGGTCCGTTTAAGAATTGAGTGCCTGTCGTCTTGAGTAGAGATCTGTACTTTGGTCACACTATATATATTTTTGTCTCTGGCACCAGTACTGCTATACCAAAATACAGATCTGTAGTTCCTCAGAAGTCAGGTATCATGGAGCTATATCTGGCATGACTGACTTTTTTACAGTATATTTCCAACCCATATTGTGCAAACAGAGACCTTTTGAGTTGTTCCAGGTTTTTCTCCCTGAAATTTTTTTTCCCTTAGATTTTTTTTTAAAATTTACCTATCCTTAAAGGAATTATATTTCCTCATTCATGGAGATATATCTGGCATGGCTCAAGGGGCCTCTGCTTGGGAAAGGATAGCATAACAGACAATTATAAAGTCTGTTGTATATATATGCATTCCTTTCTGGAATTAAACGTATGTAAGAAATACAATGGGACGTGGGTGGCGCTATGGTCTAAACCACTGAGCCTAGGGCTTGCCGATCGGAAGGTTGGCAGTTCAAATCCCCGCGACGGGTGAGCTCCCGTTGCTCGGTCCCAGCTCCTGCCAACCTAGCAGTTCGAAAGCACGTCTAGTGCAAGTAGATAAATAGGTACCGCTCCGGCAGGAAGGTAAACGGCATTTCCGTGCACTGCTCTGGTTTCGCCAGAAGTGGCTTAGTCATGCTGGCCACATGACCCGGAAAAATTGTCTGTGGACAAACGTCGGCTCTCTCAGCCAGTAAAGTGAGATGAGCGCCGCAACCCCAGAATCGTTCACGACTGGACTTAACTGTCAGGGGTCCTTTACTGTTACCTTTAAAGAAATACAATATTTGAGTTTTAGTTCATTTGTAAAAGTTTCTAAAAGACAATCAGCAAAGAAAAGTTAGATCCATATGCCCCATAAGCTAATTTTAATGTCACAGATAGTCATCAGTGTGGATCTTTCTATGGTGTCTTCCTTTTTCCATGTGTTTGTTAGCCCTGTATTTCCAGCAGTGATCTAATCAATTATGATAGTTAATGAATACCTGTGGCTCACTTGAGACACTGCTCCAGTTACACAGGGGCACAGTTCTGTTTTCACCTGTCTTGATATGGTGTAGATAAATCAGAATCTATACATTGTGATCCAGTAAGTCCATCCAGGTTGTCAATACTTTGCCCATACAGGCATATCTTAATACAAATGTACTGTGCCTGCTCCACAAATGTCACTGCCATGACTAATTCTGTTAATGAATCGAGTTCAATATCTGTTCTGCTTCTCCTATTACTTCAGGTCACTAAGTAGCCTAGTTTGTCAGAGTGAGTTGTGAAATGGTTCAAGATAATAGTTTTTGTAATGAATTTACTATTATAGTCAAAATAAATGTGAGCAATTAACACTGGCTGCTACTGAAAGCAAAATGAGTACATCATATTTACCACAGTGCATCTAGATTGACTTAAAGCAATATTGTTTGTACCAAACTGTATAATTTATCTGCACTTACTACTAAATACTGATGTTTTTATTTATTTTGAAAATTCTAGCCAAATGCATCTATGGAGGAAAAGTGTTGGCAGAAGGTCAGAGGATTTTAACCAAGAACTGCAAAGAATGTCGTGTAAGTTTTTTAACCCTCTAAGATTGCAGTCTCAAGCATTATGACTGCTGTAGGACTTACATTGCAATTGTTCACTCTTTCACTTTTAAACATGTGTGGTATCTCCTTTATTGCATGCCCTGGATGGTACAGCAAAGTGTGTGCAATATTACTTTCTCTGCATCAAATGCTTTTGACAGAATATTTTTTTTTTAGAATGAGTCATAAATTCTAATACATTTTTACTTTCCGTGCTTGCAGGCTGTCACTATTGTGAAAGGGATTCAAGCGCATACCAGAAATTTAGCTTTGCACAACTAGAGTAGGATTAAAGTGCTCTGTTGCGATAGCACAACAGATCCACAAAAAAAAGAAGACTTTTTCAGGTGGGAAAGTGACAGGAAAATGCACTGCAAAGTGGGGGAGCAACAAATTATTATTTTTAAGTCAGCTTAAAGCCTTTATCTAAGTTCTTCACCAAGCATTTAAAAGCATTGAGTTTTGGGGCTTGACAGATCTCACCTGGATGAGCAGTAAAGAAGGTGATTGTCAATACTGAGCAGGTTCTGCTCCTTGACATGACGTTAAGACAGGGACATAATAGAACATGGCCATTCATAAAGTGGGGAATATCTTATTGAACTTACAGAAAGAATGAGAAATGTAAATTTGCCTAGCCAATAGCGCTAGTCTGTATCTGAAACAAAAGTAATCTTCTCCAGCTTGGGCTATAAAGCGTTTAATACTTTTAAATGCTGCGGGGCATTTAGGGAAGGGGATACTCAGAAGTCCTGTTGTGCTCAGAAATGAGGCCAGAAAAACCAAGTGATTTTCTCTGTCTTTGGGGAAAATAGCTTGGTTTTCTGAGCCCAATCCTGAATTGAGCTCAAGAGGGTTTTCTTGACAGCAGTGGATGATATTTCAGACCATGGGAACCAGCCCCATGTGGTTAATTAAAGCTATTTCATACTACATTTTACTTTTTCAGTTCAGCTTAAACAATAACATTTATCATGGGTTTTTTTTTAATAACTGAAATATATTACTGCTTTGACACTGTCCTCTTCAATGTTTTGACGCTGGTGGTTCAGTAGTAAGTGCACTAGCTCTCCTTGGAGGGTTGCTGTGTGAAATGTGAAAATCAAGTATCTAAATATGTGGAGAATTTTCAGGTATACAGGAGGATCCCTGCTTCTCACTGAAGTGAAGGACACGAGACAGGTGTTGGTCATCAGGTGAGCTGTGCATAAGCAAGCTCCTAGCTAGCTCTGCCGAGGCTGTTTTTATTAGCACAATATGCAAAACCAGTCAGACATTTTGGACGGTGCCCTTTACACATCTTCCATTCGCAAGATCGGGGGGTGGTACAAAGTTATTTTGGCACCTGTTTCCACCGCGTCACTTTCCCCCTGAACAATGTTTAACCGAAAGAGACAAAGGTCACAGACAGGGCACGGCAGACTACTAAGAGAGCAAAGGTTAGATAGAGGGTATGATGTTCAGACAGCTGTGGCTTGTCTGCGGGTGGAAGTGTGCTCCGCACCCGGTGGGTGGAAGTCTGCTCCGCACCCGGTGGGTGGAAGTCTGCTCCACACCCGATGGTCATTCCTTCACTCACAAAGCAATTCATGGATGGCCATGAGAATGACCACAGGACAGGGGAACATAGCATGCTTGTTCCTACAGCCCTTACCTTCATTATAACAGTAGCCTGAAAGGGCTACAAAATCAGACATCTAGAAGAGTTTCACCTGCATCAGATTCTCCTCTCTGTTCCTTCCTAAAACAATAATATCTGGATCCTCCATGGCACCCAGAGGGTCTCTGCTTTGTTTGCTGGGCTGCTATTTGTTAGCCTTTTCCCTGGGGTACTGTGAGGTTCAGGTAACACTTGAGATCTGTCTCTCGGCTGCTGACTAGGCATGGAGGGCAGCTGCTGAGTCCCTGGCACAAATCAGGGCAAATGTGCAGAAAGGAATTATAAGAAACTCCAAAAAGCCTCTAGGCTTAGCAGAAAACCAGATATGAGCTACTGTGTTCTGGTGATAAGAGTATCTGATCTTCACTTTAGTGCTAATTGTGATTTTATCACATAGTATATGAAGTATCTAACCCTGCCGTTGCTTCAATACTGGCACAGCAGCTGCCATTTTATTTGCTGTGTTAGTATTGCCCTTGGCGTATCTATCTATCATATGCAAAAGACTCATATGTATTTGCTGTAAGTGAGGAAGAGGTAAGGATAACAATGGTTCCTTGTGCTTAACTGATTCTCAGCCTGCGAGCCTAGAGTAGCAATGCGTTTTTGAAGTAACTTGGTAAGTCAGGTTTTCATTTCAGTTGCTGTAGAACAAAGTATCAATTGTACCACAGTAGGCAATATTGTGGGCGACCCATCATTATTACATGTTTTCTGCTTTTGACTAGTGAAGGCATGAATAGCTTTTTAATTGCTTCCAAGCTGTGGAAATCATAGAGCTAGTTTTCAGAGCTGCCTTCCTTTTCGTTTCCTCGCCCATTTTGCATGGAAGTATCATGGGTGTCTGCTGTCAATGCGTTTCCCATGCTTTTCTTTTGTGAACATCTCATGACAACCAGGTATTACTGAACTTTAAAGGGAAAACAGTTCTCTCTCAAATTGGTATGCTTAATGTTTCACTCATCAAAACTTCCACACTAGTTTGATACTAAGGCGACAACGTTCTGCAAAGAGAACAGATAGTTAGTCTGGGCATGTTGGCCGTTGTTGAGTACAACAAGGTCCTTGCTGATCAGACCAGTACCATTCTTACTTTTCTTTGTCATAGTCTGGCTGTATACAGACCTTACTGTGTAACCCCGTCCAATCCTGGAAACTGTAGTTTACCCCGTAGACTTGCAGTTCCCAGCACCGTTAACAAGCTACAGTTCCCAGGATTCTTTGGAAGAAGAATGTGCTTTAAATATCTCGTATGTATGCAGCCTTTGTTTATGTCAGTCTCTGATTACAGAAAGTAGAAGCAACCGTGGAATTTTCATCAGTGTAACTCTTTAAAACATTGTTATTTCCAGAATGGAATTTTAGTAAAAGTAACGGAGACCTGTCCTCCATTGAACTGCTCGGAAAAAGATTACATCCTCCCAGAGAATCAGTGCTGCAGTGTTTGCAAAGGTAAGTAGGATGTTGGCAGGTATTGTTAATAGTTATTGTGTCTTTCTTAAAAGAATGTTTGATTTGGATCTGAGAAGCCTACTGTAAGGCTTGTGGTGTTGTCTCGGTTGCCTTTTATGCATTAACTGGAGTTCATAAAAGACCTTTAATATTAGTCAGACATCAAAGCTCCTTGGGGATATTGTAGAGCGTTTTGAAATCAGGGAAGTTAATATACTCCCCCCCCAATTTGTATAGATACAGTCTGCGAAGCATGTATAACTTCCTACACATTGATACCATTATATAAACCCATTTAAATAACATCCCTTCTCCCCATTATTAAAAACAAAAAACCAGTATTTGAGCAATACTGAGTTCTGATGGTAACATTTTAATTTTTTTAAAAAAGTTTATATTTAATGTTCACATTAAAGTTAGAGTTACAACCCAAACAATGCCACCAGTGCAAAGCTAAATCCACAAGTGCTGTATTATTGTGGCCTTGTGGGTTTCTTCCTGAATTTTCCTGCTCCTACTCCCTTCCCATGTCTTTAAGCCTCAAACAGCACAGCTGCCAAAAATTATCTTTCTCCTTGAAAGCTACTTATTTCCCTGACCACCCAGAGTCATGATGAATTCATATGTAATTATTGTTGCAGTTAACATTTTTGTTGTTGTTTATAGTGTAGTCATCAAAGACTATATAACGGTGGAGCAATTTCTTGATTGCAGCTTAATCGTGCTTTTGTTATTCCCCCCATCCTTCGTGAAATTTACTGTACTATCATAGATTATGATTATGTAACTTGGAGTCACAGATGTGATTGTGTATTTTTTCCATTAGGTGTCAAATCAAAATCGTTGCTTTTTTTTTGCTGCTACTCAGTTTCTTGGATTACAAACTTGGGCTGTTGCTTTGCTTGCAGGGCTAATCCCCAGCACCTCCAGGCAAGTCAGAAGGGGGGGGGCAGGGGGGACAATTGGAATGGGCCTGCGACTTTGAATGGCAATGAGAATGGCAATGAGAGAGGTGCTGAAACTGAGTTCCAGTGAGTTCCAGCTGAAAAAAAGCCCTGGGCTTGACTCAGTATAAAGTAGCTCCTTATGTCTCTATGTCCTTAACCTTTGAAAATGAAAAAGAGTTTTTTTAAAAAAGCATATGGTTAAACATTTTTGAATAACATAATTTTTAGTCACTATATGTTAAATAGGTTGTGTGGTTTTTAAATTGGTGGCAATCCGGTTAGAAGTCACTCCTTGTGCTTAAATGAGTACTTTGCAGTGCAATTCTATGCATGTCTGTTCAGAAGCAAGCCCCTTTTACTTCAACTTCCGTGTTTGTGTGTGTGTTGGGGGAGGTTGAAGTGCGGAAAACATTTTATTAATAATGTAGCTCTGCTAACCTTTACATTTACTATTTATATAAAAGAGGTTTATAATATCTTTCAGTAGCACCTTCAGGAGGCTCTTCAATTAGCATATTTTCCATCTCTTCCTATCTAGCCCCAAGACTGGACTTGAGACAATTTTGCGTAAAGGGAATGGAAGGAGTTTTGTTTCCTCAGATGCAAAAATCAGACATTTCTCATGCATTGCTGTGGGACTCTGAGACACCTCTAGAATTCAGTTTTATTAAGTCCCAGAAAGATGCTGATAAGTATAAATTTAACAGGTCTGCTGCATTCAGAATTGTAGCAACAGGGCTCTCAACTTTACTAAGGCTTCTTTGTGTACTTGGGAGCAGCTTATTGAGTACAAAATACATGCATGTAGAGTCATTTGTGTTACTTAGAATATATGTGAGAGCAGCCATGAAATGATCTTATTCTGAGAAAAATAAATACAGTTCCGCTGTCCTCTGTTTAATTATTTCTGTGCTCGTCTATTGCAATTCAGTGGCAACATATTAGTGCAACATAGTGCCTTGTGCCTATATGCATATTTCAACTTCTTTTTCTCTAGGGATTTTGATTGATTTACAACCTTAAAGCTTTGCACTTTGGCACTTTTATTAAACTAGTATTTTTTCCCACAGATATGTTACATATTTTTAATTAATTAAAAATCTTTTAAATCAATCTTAACAGATAAATTAAATGTAGCAGCCCGACTTAGTAGTGTTAGTCTTAGTAAAGACTATTGTTGCTATCCTGCCTGTTTTGACCATTCTGTTGCCTAAATAAATAGCTAAATAGTTCTGGATACAAGTGCAAACAAATTTACAAACAACTGCAAATTAAAAATGGTACTTTTTCAATACTTCTCAAGTAACATTGATACTACATGGAGTCTCCCACTGAGTGCCACATAACTCAGGGTAGTGTTTTGGTGCAAGGTGGGGCCAGAGCTGCCCCATACTCTGTATATCTTAAGCTCCTCACTACCCCATTCTCTCTTAGAGAGTGGCAGGGTGACAGGTGATGATCTTAAGAGAGAGAGATGGAGGGAGACATGGGGTGGTGGTGATTTAAAGAGATAATGAAATGATGATAATCTTAAGTAAAGGTCAATATCACCCCATACCGTTTCTCATACATGGGCAGAGCCACCACACACTCTTTCTTTGGTATTCCCACCTAGGGATGTAAGAGGGCAGTGGTTTCTGTTCTAACCTGTATTTGTCACAATCAGCACTGTTTCTGTTCCACTGCAGTTCGGCTTCTGCCAAATACTACATGTAACTATTTCTGCAACTTACTTTAATCTCAGTGTAAAAGAAATGGCAAAACAATGTTTAAAAAATTATTAATTGCCTATAATGTGTGGCCTTAAAAACAGTAATGATGTAATGATGTCATATTCACCAGGCCAATTTCTGTTCCTGACCACAGATGAGTATGCACTTTTGGCTTCCTTTTACATTTTTAACCCCCCCCCCAACATTCTTTATCCCACCCCATCAATTAATACGTGCGTGCACACACACACTCATTCAAATCCTTGATCTCTCTCACACACATACTCACTGTCCATACTGTCCCTCCTTTCTCTCTCTCCCTGTACCTCCTCCTCAGATAATAAATGAGGTTAGGAGAAAGCTCCCTTTAACCCCCCCAACCCCCCCCCCCAATTGCTATACTGAAGTGAGGTCAATGAATCAGGCTAAATCTGAAGACAGTGGACCACATACAACAATGGTTCCCCATCCCATTGGCATCTTAAGAGCCAGCTCACACGTAAAAGCCACCCACTTATGCTCTCCGGATGTCTCCTGACTGATCACAGGCATGAGCTTTTCAAGAAAAGTAACATGTACATGTAAACTCAAAGTGCGCCTGATAAGCTCTGTTAACATGATAGAATTTTTTCAGTTTCCACATATAAAGTGCCACGTAACAATGATCCACTGTTACTTAGGCCATACACCTATTTCTTAATGTGATCCTGTGTCTTGGGATAATCAGAAGAAATTGCATATGGAATAAAGCAGTTGTCTTACATTTATGAGAAAAATCATGTCAATTCCAACCATATTTTTATTTGCTTGAGTTCATGGGGACTTACAAGTGAGTGTGCATAGATTTTCAAACTAAGTAGCTTGGGAGCAGGTCTGAGGTTGCTAAGTTATTTGACTTTTTGAGAATTGTAACCTATAACTAATTGGAGGAACACATTTGAAAGGATATGTGCCAAGCCAATTGTACAATTATTCAACAACATGAAATGAGCTTGTCTACCTATTCCCTGAAGCGTAGAATTTGATTACTATTATAATTAGCTTAAAATGATAAATGGGTCATTGCACAATCAAATAACTTAAAAAGCAAAACTTAATCTTGTGGAAGCAGTTGTAATAAAGACATAAGAATGCCCTCATCAAAGGAAAGCCAAGGGTAGAAAAATTGCTCTAAATGCTGGAAGAACATTCACCTGAAATGTTTGAAGAAGGAATAGAGGTCACCTCGTTTGTCAAAGATCTAAGTATATGCTTTTTTCAATGTGATTCGCTTTTGGAAGTCTATTTCTTCCACCAGTGTGGTGTAGTGGTTAAGAGCGGTGGACTCATAATCTGGGGAACCGGGTTCGCGTCTCCACTCCTCCACCTGCAGCTGCTGGGTGACCTTGGGCCAGTCACATTTCTCTGAAGTCTCTCAGCCCCACTCACCTCACAGAGTGTTTGTTGTGGGGGAGGAAGGGAAAGGAGAATGTTAGCCGCTTTGAGACTCCTTAAAGGGAGTGAAAGGCGGGATATCAAATCCAAACTCTTCTTCTTCTTCTTCTTTTTCAGATGTTGTTAAGGTACTACATGCATTTATTACATACATCTATGTGTATGGGGGAATGTTTTGCACATTTGTTCTAAATTGTTTGTTGTAGTAGCTAATGCTCTATTGCCTTGTCATCTATGTTGGACTGAAATGAGAAGTAGTCATATAAAGATCCCCACCCCCTTCATTTTTAAAACCTGAGACAGTAAGGTTTTAACAGTAGGCCATATGAAAAAATTAAAACAAATGTGTCAGATCTAAAATTCAGAAGGGGACATTGTTTTATTATGTTCTAATCTAGCCAAAGCTAGTCATAATTATGGAATATTGAAACCAATGGACATGGCTAACTTAAGTATCCTCCTTTTCAATGAGACTTGGTCACACTTAACTTTCACTAGATTTCAGGTCCAATCTCCTTGGAATCTATTCAACATCATCATAATTTCCACAGGACACTAGGATTTGAAATTCCAAGTCACCAGAGAGTGGACCCATGTGGATTGTTGTTTTCACCCCAGACCACTGGCCCACACTAATTGTCTTAACTACTCAGATAGTGAGCTAAATATATTCTTTATTAGCATTCACAAAATTTAGAAAGCATTAGTATAAATCAAGTGGCACCCAAATGGAATCATTTAAAAAAGGAAGATCATTTATTATTTATGCAGTGCCATCTGTGTACATGCATAAGCTCTCTAAACTGTCTCGAGCACCTTATAATATAAATTTTGGCAGCAGAGTAGCCACAAGAGAGTTGGATATGAGGGACGGTGCTTACTGATAACCAGGGCTTTTTTCCCCAGCCAGAACTCACTGGAACTCAGTTCCGGCACCTCTTAGGTGCGTGTCATTGCTATTCTGAGAGAATGAGGGAGGTGCTCATGGTGAGTTCCAGCACCTCTTTTTCTAGAAAAATAGCACTGCCATTAATGTAGTATTCTGTGACATTTAGAACTCATCACTCCTCTCCAGCAATCTGCATGGCTGCTCTGATGCATGCAAGAAGTGTGCTCTCTTTCTATTGAAGGTTTTCTAGCTTTCATTTCAGTGGGTAACCGAGTGACATCATACAAAATAATGTGGTGGAAGAGCATACAGCAGGGCCTTTGGAGAACTTACGTTTGGGCAGGCTCGGATAGGAAGAAGCAGTGCTTCAGGCATCTTGGCTTCAGACTATGTAGGACTTTAAAGGTCAAAATCAGCACCTTGAATTGGGTCAATGAAGTCAGTGCAAAATTGAATTAACACGCCCAGAGTGGCCCATCCTTAATAACACCATAATGCTGCATTCTGGTCCAGTAGCCATTTCTGAGCAATCTTCAGAGGTAGCCATACACAAAGCATGTTACAGTAGGCTAATGTGTGTGCTACCAGAGCACAAGCAATGGTAGTCAGTTTTATACTGCCTAGGAAAGTATGCAGGTGGCATACTTTTCTAGGCAGTAATCTGTCTTCTCAATCAACAAAAGCCCCATGTCGTTTGGATTAGTTATTACTGTCATCATTATTTCTTAAATGTACATCTTGCCCTTCCTCCAAAAGGAGGCCTTCATCCAGTCTTTCACTGCTCTCAGACACTGGTTTATAGCTTCCACTGTTTTCTTGGGTTTGACGGAAAAGAGAGAAAGAAATGGCTTAAAAATTGGTCCTGAAAACTCTTCATAGATAACTTCAGCAAATAATATGATGGAAACTGTACCAAATACTTGGATTCTCAGCAATGGAGTATGAATATATACAGCCTGGGATGTGTGAAGTTCATTTCCTGTAAATCCTTCTTTGGAAATCATAATGCAAAGTGTAATTCTATCCATTATTTTTGTTAAAAAAAGGTAAATCTTGAAGGTGATTCACAAATCCCCTATATGGAGTTCTTAGATTCTAAGAATTCATACTTTCTGACAGCTAAGCTGCATTGAAAAAGATTTCACTGGGATATTTTTAAAAAAGAAATAACAGACTAGAGTTCCTATAACCAAGTTAATGGGGGGGGAACTCACCCTGCACATAATGGAAAAAGAATAAAAGAAATAACATATTACAGACAGTTTTTTTTTTTAAGTTGGCATTATTTTAGAATGACATGCAGCATTACTGTAATATTTCACAGTGCTTTTTGTTTTGATGTTAAGTCACTTTCACCTCACTGTCATCTAAATAAGACTTTGATTCAGTATAACCATTAACATATTTGTTGTGCTGTCTGTCACCATTTCCTTTGCGCTTGACTTGTTGGAGCAAAATTGGAGCGGTTGGTATACTATTAGTGTGAGATCAGCCAGTAACACTGTAGGTTAAGTTCACATAAGCATTTTCTTCAGTTTGAAAAATATTATTGAAATCCTTAATGGTTTAACTATTGGTCCCTTTACATTGAAACAAAGATTGAAAGATGGAAACGTAATGTAGGCTGTCTTTAGAAGGAGCAATACCCTGAATCCTGGTTGTTGTTGTTGTTGATGATGATGATGATAGTGATAATAATAATAATAATAATAATAATAATAATAATAATAGGATTTTAAGGAGCAGAAACCTATCATTTGCTTTTGTTTTGTTTTTACTTTTTTGTGGATTTGTGATATGCTTGGATTCATTCTGGAAAAAAGCTGGGCTCAAAAATCTGATAAATAACATCTCCATATACAATTGTGTTCCACAGAGGTCTGTTAGGCATCTTCATTATACAGCAGTTAGTGAATTCTGATCACACACCTTTCTCCTGGCTTTTGACACCTGAGTATATTTTTGACACCTGCATATTTTTAGGATCCACTCTGTTTTTGTGATTGAAAATTGTTTTAGCTTTGTTTTTAGCTTAGATTATAATATTGTGTTTTAATTGTTGCAACCTGCCCTGAGATTTTAGGGTGAAGGATAGATAATAAATTAATATAAAAATAATTACACAAGTAGCTTTAGAGGATCATGGATGTTGAATCGACCACATTTTATGCACCCCCAATGCATCTTGAAGATTTGCTTCACAATGCCTTCTTTCCTGGTAGTTTCCTCCATATTTTTGCTGGCTTTTGAATGTGTTTGTCTTCCTATTTCTGTGTGGTTTCAGAATAATTTGAAGGTGCAGCATTTTATTTGATAAATATACATTGGTGGTTTTTTTGTTGTTTTTTTTAAAAAGCTTTTTCCTGCTTGTATGCATTGGGGAACAGAAGTCCGTCCCCATCTCCCCAAAATCTCTTTGAGAATCAGTTGGTAGGCTTCTATGTTTGTGTGTTTGTGTGTAGTGCACAAAAGTATTCAGGAATTGCTTCCCCTTGCATTCTGGAACAACGTGTGCTGACCTGTTATATTAATATAAATCACATCGTATGCACATTTAACTTGTGTGATTTCAACCATATGTGATTGAAGGCCGGCTGGTTGAAAATCTGCACATTAAATGCAGGCAAGGCAGATAGCTTAAATGCTCTTTTTGCACCATGTTTTCCCGGCATGAAACGCCCCCCCCCAAGCCAATTTCAGGGGTAGGAGTGTGGGGGGGGGAGGAGAGGATGGATCACCCCATTTCTCAAGTGGAAGTCCTTGCACAAGGGTTCCATTAGCTGAATCCCCTGCCCTATATATTTATTTGAGAGCCCACCTTATAAAGCTCCAGTGAGACTTACTGCTGAGTGTACCTGTATATGACTGAGAATTCTAATCTATTGATGAAAATTTAAGCAGGGTGTTCTTTATTTAAGAATTAATTAATTAATTAATTAATTAATTTAAGATTAATTAATCCAGTACACTTTTGTTTCGAGCTCTCATCATTGCTAGCTGTGGCTGTGCCTGCTACAGCATCTGGCCTCAGTGGAGTACCATTAAGAAAATGTGTCCCTTAACAGAAGATTCTCATGCTATGGAATTTTGCATCTGTTATGACAGCATTCTTAAAAGTAGTGTGATTAGTTTCAGTAGAAGATCAGTGTAAATATATACAATTAAGCACACAGGCCCTTGATAGTGTGACGCCCTTGATAGTTCAGTCGGTAGAGCATGACACTTTTAATCGTAAGAGTTGTGGGTTCAATCCCCATGTTGGGCAAAATATTCCTGCACTGCATTGCATTGCAGAGGGTTGGACTAGATGACCCTTGTGGTTCCCTCCAATTCTAAAATTCTATGAAAGGTAAAGTACATTATGTTAGCGTGGAAGTTAAATGATATTGTATTACTGTTAGGATTCCTATCTAAATTAAATAGTATAATTGCTGATTTAGGATTAAGCTTTTTATTGTTTTCACTCACTCTGATACATTGTTGAATGTGCTTTATTTTTCAGGTCATAATTTTTGTGCACAAGGTCACAGATGTGGTGAAAACTCAGAGTGCAGGAACTGGAACACGCGAGCTACTTGTGAATGCAAAAGTGGTTATGTCTCCGTCCAAGGGGATTCTGCCTATTGTGAAGGTAAATAATGTGTTCCGCAAAGTAACTTCATTGTGGTCTGGTGAGACATGTGCTGTTAAAACAAAAGCAGAACAGAGCATCTCATTATCAAGTTCAATCTTCATGGTAGTATAAATGATAATATCCTCATTTGATTCTATATGTAGAAAGTTCAGATGACCCAGACAGATGGAAACTTCATTGTGAAGTTCCCAAGTGACTGACTGACTTCCTGGCATGTTAAAATGTCACCCTTCTGTTTGTGACTGTCTTTGCAATATATAAATTCCAGTAATACTGCTGCTTAGGCTGATGGCAAGTATGTTGTCCCAGACATGAATAATCTGTGTCACAAATTGATAACAGTTGATAATAGTATATTTAGGCAACAAGCAAAGATTGTTTTCATCAAGCCTTTCGGCTGAGGTAAAAATGTGACCCACTGTATCTACAGATAGTAGGCTTTTTAGAAGTGGTTTTATGGCCTTCTTTTAATGATGTGGACTGCTTTGAGGTATTCCATTCAAGAGCAGAATATACCGGTACATTTTAAACATAAATCAATAAGATGTTGTGACTGTAGATAGCATCTTGTGAGGTGTGATGAGCTGCAAATACTGTTTACCCCATAGTATTAACTTGGTGAAAACATACAGGAAAATTTTGTAAATGTCTCCCCCTTTCCTGGGTTTCCGTGGACAAGCTAGCTCACTTGCCATTCAGAAATTGTTTGCGTTGCTGAACTTGCATAGGAATACCATCCATCATGATCCTTCAGTGCTGAAGTTTCAAGTATGTAATGAAACATGTAATGAAATATGTCTTTGTTTCCCTTGTCTTGATCGGAAACTGTTGAGTTTCATAAATGGCTTTTTGAGACCTATTGTTGGTAACGAAATAGAAAGGCCTCACTTGGTGTCAATGTTAATGCATGAGGAGTGCAGTGAATTTAGAAAGACTCAGTTTTTGTTGTACCTAACCCTGGTTTGGTTGAGGCAAGTGCCTCGAACAGAATAGATTTTTTTTCCTCCCATTGTGAATCTTCTTTGTCCAGTCTCAATTTAATTGATTAAAAGTTGTCATTGTTAATTTCTTAGCCTGCAGCTTAAAACAACAATGAGACATACCTAAAGGGACCCAAAGCCTTTGGTGTTGTAAAATTCCATGTTTTGGATTAAAGTCATTTTTTAAACTTTCAAACTTGGATTAAAATTTTTGTTTTGAAAGAAAAAGAGATAAGGCACCAGCACAGGACTAAAAGTACGAGGAGGTCTGAAATGTATCTTCTCTCATCTTCATTCTCCAGCACTTTGGGGTGCTTCAGACATTCGCTGGACATGTTTGGAAAAGGAAGCATGAATAACTCGTGCTTTCATGACCATGATCACAGGGTACTAGCTAGTCCTCTGACATGGCGAAGGAGTAGCTAGCTGGATCAGGAGGACCAGTGCCACTAACACCAAGCTGGACCCCGAGATTGAGCTAGAGAGCCCTACATTAGTTCCCCTGGAGACCGCACTCCATGAGAATTGGCCCTCTTTTTAGACCATGGGCTTCATGCTAAACTATACCTGCTCACAAGCAAAGGCAAGACATGGAATGGGAATTGACTGTGATAGGTTCCAAGCCCGAGGGCTACACTATAAGGCTTTCGGCCCAAGGAAGAATGTTGCATCTCACCTGAGCAATACACCATGTCAGAGTTTTCTGCCTGGAAATATCAAAGGTCCTACAACTCCAGTTTGATATGCTGTCTGATGACCTGATAGACTGACACTACAAGGTTGGGTTCTTCTCCCTCTCCCCCAGATTCCCCTCTTGCCTTGAAGGCTTCCACTCATCACCAGAATAGGACACCATTCCTCCAGGTCAGGCTGTTTTGGGACTACAATTCCCATTAGCTAGGGATGATGGGAGTTGTAGTTCCAAAACAGCTGGAAAGCCAAGTTTGGCCATGGCTGCTCTAGGTAATGTCCAAAGGTAGAATATCAGATAATGGGCAGAGTGTGTGTTTTCCTGTGCTGTTTGGGGATGAGGAGAGACGTATTCTGCTGCTGCTTCTGTCACTCCTGAAGAACAGCCTTAAATTGTCCTGGCTGAACATCTGTCTTCCTGCCCCCCCTTTCCTTTTTGCTCCCCCCTCACTATATGGTTCAGTTTTCTAGGAAGACTTCTGAATGTTTTGTATTGTACATATATTAATGTGATAAACTGGCATTCACTTTGGCTTGTACTATTTTTTGGTTTTCTCTATTTATGGCATTAGTGTTTATGAGCTTGGCCTTCATGGATCTTTTCCATTTTTAAAAAGTGCTTTCTTTAGAATTATTCTTGAGCTGGCTTCCATCCATCTATATTTGAAATGGAGAAGAGATGACACCCTTGACAAGCTGTTAAAATATATTGCTGGAACAGGGAGATAAGACTAAGGAGTGTTCAGCAGAAAGAGATTTGTGGGTATCAGCTCTGCTTAGCTGGTCTGAAAAGCTACTAGTATTCTTCCCCATACCTGCATGGATGAAGAGGGCTAGCGTTGAGCTATAAGAAACAAATCTCAAATTACAGTATTATTTATTTATTACAGTATTTCTGGCTCAATCTGCCTGGATAGCTCAGTCGGTTAGAGTGTGGTGCTGACAATGCTAAGGCTGCAGGTTTGATCCTCGTATGGGACAGCTACATATTCCTGTATTGCAGAGGGATTGTATTAGATGATCCTCAGGGTCTCTTCCAACTCTGCCATTTTGTGATTCAATGATTCTGTGAATCAACCCATGTGAAAGGACAGTGATCCCATCCCATATATCATCTGGTGAATCATGAAAACAAAGTTTCTACTGTAATCTGAAATTGCATGTTCCAAAACATACATATGGACCTTTTCCTGTTTTTGTTTACATGGTATCTGACCTGAAGAAGACAACTACAAAGACTGCTGACTATTTTGTAAAGCTTTGGTTAGCCCCAATAAAGGATAATTTTTTTTATCTAATGAGCCAACATGACTGCACTTATTTTATAAATAGACTGATTCACATGATGATGATGGTGATGATGATGATGATGATAATAATAATAATAATAATAATAATAATAATAATAATAATTTATTATTTATACCCTGCCCATCTGGCTGGGTTTCCCCAGCCATTCTAGGCGGCTTCCAACAAAATATTAAAATACAGTAGTCCATCAAACATTAAAAGCTTCCCTAAACAGGGCTGCCTTCAGATGTCTTCTAAAAGTGTGGTAGTTGTTGTTCTCTTTGGCATCTGGTGGGAGGGCGTTCCACAGGGCGGATGCCACTACCGAGAAGGCCCTCTGCCTGGTTCCCTGTAACTTTGCTTTTTGCAGCGAGGGAACTGCCAGAAGGCCCTCGGCATTGGACCTCAGTGTCCGGGCAGAATGGTGGGGGTGGAGATGCTCCTTCAGGTAAACTGGGGTTCCAAATGCTCAAGCATTCCTGTTATTCCACCATGCTATTTCAGCACCATTTTATTGTGAATGTATGCATCAGGGCCTGTTATGTCTTTGTATGCAAGGTTCTTCTGTATCTAAAAAGACCACAGTTCTACTTAACAGATGGTGGGTGCGAGAGAAGAGAGAAAGAATAAATTGCAGTATCACCGGGACATCAAATATAAATTCTCCATTATGTCTTGCTGTCCTGGAGTGTTTAAAATTCATCCATTGGGCCAGATGTTGTGTTACAGCCCCAAATACACATACTTTGGGATTTTTATTTGCTTTTCACCTAGAACATAGGAAGTTGCTGTGAAAATGCTCCCTTTTTGCTGCTATATTAGGGATTCATTTGAGAGCAGTCTTTAGCATGGTACTGCTCTCATGCCACATTTACTTAAAACACACAAATGTATTCATAAGTGGTCATAGAGACAGCTAGAGCTAGACATAATTAGTATAAATATTGCTGTCATAATGGTCTGAATTTCATTCCATTGTTTCACAGGAATTGAAATAGAAGTCGTGTTTCATACTGCTTCTTTTGAGATCCAAGGTTTCCTGTCTCTTCAGCTGATCTGAAAGTAATTGTATCCTAGTTCAGAATGTGCTGAATCAATAATAATACTAATAGCAATGATAATAAGCAGTCTCGTGCCCCTCCATCTATCCACCCATCCTCTCTCTCCTCCCCATTAACCACCCCAGATCTTCTATACTGCAGCAATGGTATTGCCCTTTAAGAAGCCTTGAACTTTTAATAAACTTCAAGGCTACCCTCCTCACACGTTGCATTTGCACAGAGGCAGGTGATGGGGAGCGATCATACCAGATGTCTTTTTCTTCAGGTCCCCTCCCTTCTCCAAGCCTGTTTTCTTTCTCCTGGGTTCACTATTTTGTAATTCTCAACACACACACCCTTTTTACACACACATACGCACATGGGAAAGGGGGGGGGGTGTCCTGAGAACCAAGAGTGCCTGCTGTGACTCGCCAGCTGAATTACACTGAACATCTGCTTTCTTAAAAGAATGGTTGGACCTTGGAGGAAGGGCTAGAGCCCTTGAGAAAACATTCTGTTGGCCTGATTCAGAATGGTGGCTAGGGGTTCAAAACTACTGCATTAGAGGGCTGCTAGTCTCAAATACAAACTTTTTATAGTTACGTAGTAAGGAAGGTAGGACACTGTGTCAGAGTCTTCCATCTTTCTGTTGGATCAATGGCAATCAGTCTTCTGTACCTGAAGCTCATATGTTCTATTGGCCCTGTTTCATTTTCAAGCTGATAGGCACTGGACTACAGTGGTACCTCGGTTTAAGTACTTAATTCGTTCCGGAGGTCCGTTCTTAACCTGAAACTGTTCTTAACCTGAAGCACCACTTTGGCTAATGGGGCCTCCTGCTGCTGCCGCGCCGCCGGAGCACAATTTCTGTTCTCATCCTGGAGCAAAGTTCTTAACCCGAGGTACTATTTCTGGGTTAGTGGAGTCCGTAACCTGAAGCATATGTAACCTGAAGTGTATGTAACCCAAGGTACCACTGTATTTGGGTTTGCTAATA